CTCGTTCGGCGCGGAGGGCGTGCGAGCAGCTCGTGCGTTGCTCGTAGGCGGCCGGCGAGTGCTCGTGAGTTGCAAGCGAGCAGCTCCTAAGTTGCTCGTAGGCGGCCGGCGAGTGCTTTTAAGTTGCCAGCAAGCAGCTCGCGAGTTGCCAGTAGCTCGTGAGCTGCTGGCGAGCACTCATCAGCTGCTGGCAAGAGGCGCGCACTTAAAGTTCGTCTAAAGCCCGTTTTGCAAAGACTTCGGAGCCCCTAAGATCGTCCAAGCTGCGCGCCGTAGGCCCGTGAATCGACAGTGCTCCAAAGTACCGAATTCTACCCTATGTCTCGAACTGAGGCCTGTAGCTATCACAGAGTGGAGAGCTGGAACACCCTCCCCAGAGAGAGCTCCCGCATCTGGATCAAGCGCTTTTGAAACCTTTTCAAAGGGCCGTGCCCGCGCGTCGGCGACGCCGTCGAGGTCATGGCTTTGCGCCTCGTTTTGCGCAACAGCTTCATCGACACCGAGGATGATCAGGCACAATGTCGGCAGGGTACCAAGCAGTGGATAAACGGGCACGGAGAGTTGCAGATCTTCTGGCTGCCACATGACTACAGGTCCAGGTGCCAGTAGACTGCGGCAAACGTCCTTCTAGTTGTAGGTTGGGTTTGCAGGAAGCGCCGTGTTGACCCTGGCTAGCTACAGCGGCATAGAACAGCAAGAAGCACGTCCGGTGCCATTCGGAGCCTGTGCCGGTGTAGAGGTATCCAGAGCAGAATCCTTCCCAACATCGGGAAGCCCTCTTTGTTTTCAACTCCTCTCCTTTCACCCGCCCTCTACGCAAAGTCCGGAAAGCAGGAGCGGGAACGCTCGCTTCGAGCATGTAGCTCGCCGCCTGGTCCGGGCCGCGGGCGGATGCATGAGCCGCCGAATGAGCTCAGGCTTCTTCTCGGCATTCCATGTTCGATCGAACCAGAAAGATATTCTGCTCTTCTTGCATGTTTCCAAAACACAAGCTGGTGCTATCAAATCGTGTGGCCCTACCCGGAAGGGAGCAGCTTTGGCGCTTGAACCGCATAGCGGCTGCGCCTGGGCCGGAAAGCAACCAAGACGAGGACCGAAGCAATTTCGCACCAGGTTTTTCTTCTGACGCTGACGCTGAGTCTTGCTGCCGTTGGCTTTCTGCATCCTTCCTGCGGGCAGGAGAGGAACTACGGCAGCCTGGGGCACCCAGACGCCTGCCGCACACCATGCATCAACTTCGCCCGCGATGGAATGCGGGAGGGCCAAGTTGCAGGTTGAAAAACACAGCTCGCCTCTGGCGTCCACTCGCTTTTTCGGAGCCTCCCACGTCGAGCTGTGAAGCTTCCGAGATATCAGGTGCGCCTTCGGGGCCTCCTGTGCCAGATGTCACCTCTGCATGCCCTCGTCGAGGAAGAAGCCGGAGCCGGCAAGCAGAGGAAAATGGCGGGGGCCTTTGGCCAACTTTGCTTTTTCTTCTAAAGCGAAAGGCACGAGACGGCTCCTGCCCGCCAAGCCGCAGCCGAGCCGAGGAAGCTGGGCCCCGCGAAGCGGAGGCGGCTCTCGGAGATGCAGCGTGCCTACCTGCTGCAGCTGCTCTGCGAGAGCCTGGGCAAAACTTCTGCAAGTGCATGGGGGGGGGGGGGGGGCGGGGGGGGCGCTTCCACTCAGAGAGGCCCAATAAGAGCCTTAGAGCTTCTGCCCTGCGGAGGAAAAGCTCCCCTAGGGCCCTGGCCGCGGGGATCCTCTCTACTGCTGCGTGAGGATTTCAGCTTTTCAGCTTCCCTTGGAGGATTTGAGCTGCCGTGCAACCGAGGACGCTGGAAGTCAAGATGCTGAACCGCGGGCGCCTGAACCAGGCTGGAATGCAGATAGATAGATAGATAGAGATATATATATATGTATACATGATAAGACAAGTATTTGCAGTATATGGGTGGTTGTCAAAATTATGGTCCCCTTTCGGGTCCCTATTATAATACGGCTCCTAATATTTAGGGTACCCAATTAGGGACCATAATTTTGACAACTACCCATATGACAGTATGATGATTGCTTGGGAGTGTTTGTTGAGAGGAGTGTTGAGACGGTGCATGCGGCGGGGTGCGCTTCATGACACTTGGTGCAGGCGAGGGACTTCCTGGCAGTTCTTCAGAAGGAAGCCGCCCCTTGTCTCATTGACTGCTTGCTGCCCGACCCCCAATAACCCTCAAGCTCCTCTCCAGCTGCCCGCAAAAGCGGAGTGCAGGCAGGGCCAGAGTTACTGCGCTGCCTCATGGACGAGCAGGACAGAGATTCAGGGAGGGTCCACGGCGCCTGGACCGCCCGGACAGCGATCAGGGCTGGGCGCAGAACATCTTCGGACAAACAAATATATCTTGTCGTTCGGGCTTTTGATTTTGGAGAGAGGCCGTCGGCTCATAAGCCGCATCGGAGCTTAGGTGTAGAAACTCGACCAGTCCTGCCCTGTAGCAAGGAAATCTGACGGCTTCATGCCAGCCCTGAATGCCATGGTGATGATTTGAGAACCGCTTGCCGGAAGGAAGTCACGGACTACATCACAGCGATGACGAGGCGAAATGTTCCCGTGGGCGTCGCCTGTGGCCAAGCCTTTTCTTTGAGGAAGCTGATACAGGCCACAAGCCAAGGATTGAACCAAGCGAAACAGCCAAAAGCTTGAACTTCGCAGAATGAAGATTCACATGACGGTGCCAGAATCAGAATAGGCTGTTCTAGTGGATGGAATCAGGCTCGATAAAGAAGCAGCGCCCGATTGAAAGCTAACAGCCCTCACCTTCGCGGACCCTGGTACCTGCGCAGAATGTCCGTCACATACCTGCTCTCGTTTGTGGGCTTGAACACAGCACCTCTGCTGCAACGGTCATTGTGAGCTGAAGCCGCTGCAACTCAGACAAAAGCCATGAGTGGACTGTCGGGTCCGACACCTTGGTGGAGTTCGGGCTTGGAAGAATCTTGAGAGCTAAGCTTGGGAACCTCTAAACCCTCAGAGCCCTCAGAGCCCTCAGAAGCCTTCAGCCGCCCTGAGCCCAGGAAGAGCAGCGCTCCTCTTGGAAGCAGCTCCGCATGAGGTTGACCTGATGTGGCGAGGCGATTTGCGCTCAACAATGGTTAAATTTTCAAGGTGTGCACATTTCTACTTTGCATTGCCTGAGCAGAATTCTGAGGTGTTGTCTCGACATGGCCGCTCGCCGCCGCCCAGCTCGCAGAGTGTAGTCGACGTTTTGTCGGCACGGTGTGCTGACGCTGTGGCTTTGGGTTGTGGTGCCGTAGGCAGACCTGTGCCTCATGTGTCAAGACACTTCCAGGCCGGAATCCTTGGTTCACGCATTTTCGATTATCGGGTTCGAAAACCCGCTCCTTTCCATTGGACCTCCTTGTTCTCGATGGTAGCTACCTGAGTCCCGTGTGAACACCCGAACCACACAGCCTGAAATCATCTGTGAACAGTCCTCCGAGGTGCGAGACCTGATCCTGTTATCGGCAAGGGCCGAGGACCCACATCAGAGACGTTTCTGACATGCGATCTCGAAGTTTCCCAGACTTTGGCAAGTCGCCGAGTTTTTCCATGGGCTTGGAGCGAGTGAGTTGCTCATTAGAGTTGTCTCAACTTTGCGGCGGCAAACGTTGAGAGACATGCATGTAATTCTTCGGACCATTGGGGAACACCCCGTGACAGTGCTGTTCCAGCTGCGCTGTTCCAAGATGTTCATGTTCCAAGTAGTGTCACGGCCTGCTGCCTTGATTGTTCTTCGTTTCCAAGTTGTGCTGCCATCGCAAAGCATGGCCACTTCGAGCTTGCTATCATCGGGAAATGGTTCCTGGAATCTGCGACAGCAACCTCCGGTATGAGTCTTTGAGCAGTGGCCGTGTTCGGGTGTAGAGGGTCCTGCTACAGATTTGTTACGACATGGTTGCCGTAGTTCCATGGACCGCCTATGCTCATGCTAGGCAGTAGAACCTGGCTGGAGGTCCCGATTATGAAGCATCCGTCTGAGATGCTCAGATGCCCAGGGTCGAACCACCCACTTGCATCGGGTGACCGACTGTTGACTGGAATCTTTGATGTCGGTGGCAAACCCCCTTCCAGATCGTGTGGAAAAGGGCCTTAGTGCCTTTGATGTTTCGTGTGGAGAACGAGGGGTTGACAGCACAGGGCAAGTACAACTGCAAGGGAAGGGGCCTGCTTTGGTGTAGAAGGACTTCTTGGGCTCGATGGAGAGTTATAGCCAGAGATGCTACACGCGCGATTCTTGTATGTGGCAGCTGACGCGGGTTGCCTTGATCCTCAAGGGTTTCCGTGTGGCCAGCTACGACAGCACCGGCATTCAGGCAGGGTTGGAGGGGACGAGGGCTTGGGTGGCCGTGCCGTTACTGCGTGTTGCTGTCGGTTGTATGTCGGGCTCACATAGCCGCACAGCTGTTGCACATGAGAGCTTCTTGCGATTTGGACAATGCCCCGGAGCGACTCATGGTCCACTGGCTCGAGGGAAATGGAGGCCCAAAAGACTCGCAGCGAGTAGCCCAAGTGACAGATGTCGTCTCAAGAGCCGTCCGCTCAAGTCTCGGTTGAATCTGAACCCTCGGAAGCTTGGAAGCTTGGGGAAGGAGAGTCCTCCGTGTTTGGGAATCGCCGTAGAGCCTTGAGCGTCCACTGTTTGGAGGGCACAAGCTTCGAGCTGGAGCTCGACTGCGCGACGGGCCCACGGGAGGTGAGGGAAGAGATCGCTTTGAGAGTCGGTTGCCCAGCAGATTCCATAGTTTTGACGTCAGGTGGCTCCGTCCTCGATCAGCGTCAGCCCTTGTTACAACAAGTTCACAAGGAAGAGATCACCTATGTCGTGCAGGGACTTGGTGCCGGTCATGCTGCAGGGAGCTGGGAGCGCCTTCTGGCGAGGGAAACTCTGTCTGACACGGACGCACATGTTCTTAGCGAAACGGTGTCATTCAGTTTCGGTAGCAACTTCAACCAGAGCTTGGAGGGGATGCAGCTGCCCAATAGTTTGTACACGCTTGCCTTTGGCGAGAAGTTTGACCGGAGCTTGAAGGGCATCAATCTACCCAGCAGCCTCGAGACATTGAGCTTTGGCTACCAATTTAATCAGAGCTTGCGAGGAGCTCGGCTACCCAACAGCTTGCGGACGCTGACCTTTGGCCTGCACTTCAACCAAAGCCTGGAGAAAGTGCAGCTACCTGAACGACTGCAAGATTTGACTTTTGGCGACGAGTTTAACCAAAGCTTGAAGGGAACCACTCTCCCCCACGGTTTGCGCTTTTTAAGCTTTGGCTACAGCTTCAACCAGAGCTTGGAAAGCGCACAGCTACCCAGCAGCCTGCAGACCTTGACCTTTGGCACACGTTTCAACCAGAGCTTGGAGGGTGTTCAACTTCCCAGCAGCTTGCAGACACTGACGTTTGGCAACGACTTCAACCTGAGTTTGGAAGGGACTCAGCTGCCCGACAGCCTTCAGACTTTGACTTTTGGCGGCAACTTCGACAAGGCCATGGAAAAGGTCCAGCTACCCCCAGGCCTTCGAAGTTTGACGTTCGGTCGCAGCTTTGGCCGCAGCTTGGATGGTGTTCGGCTCCCGCGCCTCCAAACGTTGACCTTCGTTGAGTCGTACTTCAACCAGAGCTTAGAAGGGGTCGTCCTACCCAACTGCCTTGAAACGCTGACCTTCGGCTTGCACTTCAACCAGAGTTTGGAGAGAGTGCAGCTACCCGAACACCTGCAGACCTTGACGTTCGGCTGCGATTTCAACCAGAGCTTGGAGCAAGTCATCCTGCCCAGTGGCCTGCAAGCCCTGACGTTTGGCAACAGCTTCAACCGCAGCTTGGAGGGTGTGCAGCTGCCGAAAAGCCTGCGGACTTTGAGGTTTTGCGAGTTCTCCCACTTCAATCAGAGCCTGGAGGGTGTTCAGCTTCCCAGCAGCCTCGAAACTCTGACTTTTGGCTACTTTTTCAACCAGAGCCTGCGGTGGGTCCAGCTGCCCAGCGGCTTACAGACGCTGACCTTCGGCGAGAAGTTTAATCGGAGCCTGGAGGGGGTCCAGCTGCCAAGCAGCCTGCAGACACTGAGATTCGGAAATCAGTTCAACCAGAGCTTGCAAGCAGTGAGGCTTCCTAGCTTGCAGACTCTGATCTGCGGCCGCGATTTCGTGCAGAGCTTGCATGGGGTCGAGTTGCCGAGCAGCCTACAGACGTTGATCTTCGGCGAATTCTCCTTCTTCAACCAAAGCTTGGAGGGGATTCAGCTGCCCAGCGGCCTGCAAAGGTTGACTTTGGGACGGCACTTCAACCAGAGCCTGGAAAAAGTGCAGCTGCCCGAAGGCCTGAGGAAATTGACCTTTGACCACAGCTTCAACCAGAGCTTGGAGGATGTCCAACTACCCGAAAACCTGCAGACATTGGCATTTGGCAACGACTTCAACCAGAGTTTGGAGGGGACGCAGCTGCCCGACAGCCTGCAGTCTTTGACCTTTGGCAACAGCTTCAACCAAAGCTTAGAAGGAGTCCACCTCCCGAGCAGCCTGCAGTTCTTGGTCTTCGGCAGAAATTTCAACCAGAGCCTTTCAGGTGTGCAACTGCCGCAAGGCCTTCGGACCTTGACCTTCGGTGTGGCCTTCAGCCAGAGCCTCCAGGGACTTCCGCTGCCCAGCAGCCTCCAAAACGTGACTTTCAGGGATGGTTGCGTAGTGACAGCAGGAGCCCAGATGCCGGAGGCAAAAGAAATCTTCTTCAAACCTTTTGGTCTTGCGTTCGCTCTGGCGCTCCGTGCGTGGTTTGTAGAATTTCAAGCCCAAGAGCTCGGATGACTTGACACTGTTAACATCATCCTTCTTGTGTGCGGATTATCTTGGCAGTTGCACTTCTGTTGCGAGTTGCTATCAGTTGCCTCCGCATCATGACTGTTCATGTGGCTGCTCTCATGTTGGTTTTGGTTGTTGCTGTCGTCGTCGTTCTCGTTGCCATGATCTGTCGTCGTAGTGCCTGCGGTTATGCGGACTGTTGATGAACATCGTACTCTTTTGCAGAATGCTTGTCCTTCTTGTTGTGAACTGCCGTGGTGGTCTCAACCAGTCTCATTTACAAAGAGTAACTCGGCGATCAGAACAGATGCACTGGCTCTGGTTGCAGCTACCGGAAGCTGTCGTCGGTACTCTTATTGTGGGTTATGCTTGTTGCCTTCGTTGTGATGGGTCCTGTGCAGACAACATAGGCCCTAGGCATTCCCACATCATCTGCAGCCATTGTGGCCCCAGACCCCCTCCTCCCCGCTGCTGAGCCCGTCTGCAGCGCCAAAGGGCCTGCGCTTCGAATTCTTGGAGTCTTTCCGGTATGGCTCTGCTCAGCTGCATTCTGCTTGCCCTTTCGTGCTCCCTGGGTGCACTTGCCACGGGGCCCCTGTAAAGGAGCCCTTAATCATAAGAAGCCCGCAAATGCCTGACCCTGCATCCTACCACGTGACTGATTGTCTCCTCAACCAGGGTCCTGACCTTGGCGTCACTATCGGAGCAGTAGCAAGTCGGTCATGTTGCTGTCCAGACTGCGAGGCCTCAGAGTCTTGACACTGCAGTCCTGCATTCAACGCGACAGACCTGCTGTCTATCAACCCGGTGGTGACAGTGGATCCGGAGACTTCGGGTGAGTTTGCAAAGACAATCAAGGAAGTCGTTATGCGCCAACCCTTCAGATCAGCAGCAGATAGCAGCAGGAAAATTTCACGGTCACAACCTCAGATCTACAAGACTCCCTGGCTTACTCGGCCTTCTAAGCCAACAGAGCGTCCAAGCATGGTTCGTGGTTTATTGCTCCACCCTCAGTGCCGGTGTTGTCTCCGATGGTCTTAGTTCTACGGTTGATGATATAAATCCTGCATTACCCATTGGGAATTATGGTATATTCCTTATTATGGGTCATGCAGGATTTCTATGATCGGCAGTAGCATCTCTTCTCCGACCGGATTCGGCTGAACGTGGTCGGGACGCCTAACGGTGCAGGGTTGAGAGTCGATGGTTTTGGAAGTTGAGCCCGAAGCTGTAAACCCTAAACCGTGAATACACTTTGAATGTTTCCGAAAATTAGGAGTACCTTCTTTTCGGGTCCTTATAGTAAGGATCCTGCAATTTAGGGTACTTCTTTAGGGTCCCCTTATTGTCGGAAACTCCGATTAGGGTTTGAATGCGAGGTTGGGCGACAGCCTTCTCCGAGACCCCTCAGCAAGCCTGCGACGGGGTGGACGGGCGATGCGATGGTCAGGAGATTCTGGGTCTGATTTTGGGATCGAATTTGACTCTGACCAATATGACTCGCTGCGGTTCCCCAAGTATAACTACACTATACGATGCTATAATATACTATACCATACCCAAAAACCCAATTCCAAAAGACATAGGGCCCCCATACTAGGGAGCTCCCAACAGCTTGAGCCCTACTCGACGTTACTATTATTACTAGTATTAGTATTTCCGAAATTATTACCCCCTAAACCCTAAACCCTAAACCCGAAACCCTAAACCCTAAACCCTAAACCCTACACCCTTTTTTATGACTGATAAAGAAAACCCTTCAATAGACGTAGTCGGTCTCGGGGTTGAGGGTTCTTTTTTGGAGCTTTTGGATGGATACATATATGTATATATATATATATATGATATATGATATATGATATATGATATATGATATATATATATATATGTATGTATGTATGTATGTATGTATGTATGTATGTATGTATGTATATATATATATATATATATATATATATATATATATATATACATTTATATACATTGATATAGTTGCAGGGATTATCTTGTAAAGGCTTACTAGATTTTCAGGCGCGACAACCTTGAATCGTCACAAGACTTAGAGCTTTTGTGTGTCAAAGGGAGGCCGGGTTTTGAGGCGGCGGTTTAGGAGCCTGCGGATTCTATGCAGCTCCGATTGAAACTCGGAGTTCAAGAGGTCCTAGGGTGCTGGGTGAGGGTTTGAGGTCGAGGGCTTTGGGTGTCGCCCCGTCGGAGGCTCTAGTAGCCGCTGCCAAAACCTTGAAGCGCACCGTGCTAAGCTCCGCACCCCGCCAAACGCTCGTGAAACCCAACATCCTGAGCATCAAAGTCCAAAGCCTGTGCAGCCCCAGAGGAGCAGCAGGTGTTGCTGCAAAGGAAGAATGAAAATCGCAGGCTTGGAGCGGGGGTCAGCCGCTTCGCATGGCATCCACGATAAGCTCTACGTGAAGGTTTCAGAAATCATGTTGGGTTTCTCTTTCGGGGGGGTGCGTCTCATTGAATGTGTTTTTTGGCGGTCTCTCTTAGATTCCAGCATATCAGCAGTACAATTACCGTGGCTGTTCGTTTTGAATTGCGAGGATTCCACAGCTCCAGGTTCATCGTTGAGGGCGTCGACCCTTCGGATAGACCTATGTCGAAGCAGCCAAAAGCATGACACAAAACCCCAAAGCCCCGGAGCCCCAATCCCCGCCTACCTTAAACTCCCCTAATTCACTTTTCGGTAGTTTCTGATGAGAGACCCTTCAGAATTTCCTAGAGACCCTACAAAAAAGGGTAGTTGTTGGTAGTCCAAGCTAAACCCGTAAAACCCTAAATCCCTAAACTCCTCAACCCTTAAGCCCTAAACCCCTAAACCCTAAAATACCCTAAACCCTAACCCCTAAACCCTGAAATACCCTCAACCCTAAACCCCTAAACCTTGAAATACCCTAAACCCTAAACCCCTAAACCTTAAAATACCCTAAACCCTAAATCCCTAAACCTTAAAATGCCCTAAACCCTAAACCCCTAAGCCCTAAAATACCCTAAACCCTAAACCCCTAAACCTTAAAATACCCTCAACCCTAAACCCCTAAACCTTAAAATACCCTAAACCCTAAACCCCTAAACCCTAAAATACCCTAAACCCTAAACCCCTAAACCTTAAAATACCCTAAACCCTAAACCCCTAAACCTTAAAATACCCTAAACCCTAAACCCCTAAACCTTAAAATACCCTAAACCCTAAACCCCTAAACCCCCTAAACCCTGAAATACCCTCAACCCTAACCCCTAAACCCCAAAATACCCTAAGCCCTAAACCCCTAAACCCTAAAATACCCTCAACCCTAAACCCCTAAACCCTGAAATACCCTCAACCCCTAAACCCTAAAACCCTTAAAAAATACCCTAAACCCTAAACCCCTAAACCTTAAAATACCCTCAAAATACCCTAAACCCTAAACCCCTAAACCTTAAAATACCCTAAACCCTAAACCCCTAAACCTTAAAATACCCTAAACCCTAAACCCCTAAACCTTAAAATACCCTCAACCCTAAACCCCTAAACCCTGAAATACCCTCAACCCTAACCCCTAAACCCCAAAATACCCTAAGCCCTAAACCCCTAAACCCTAAAATACCCTCAACCCTAACCCCTAAACCCTGAAATACCCTAAACCCTAAACCCTAAACCCTGAAATACCCTCAACCCTAAACCCTAAACCCTAAAATACCCTAAACCCTAAACCCCTAAACCTTAAAATACCCTAAACCCTAAACCCCTAAAACTTAAAATACCCTCAACCCTAAACCCCTAAACCTTAAAATACCCTAAACCCTAAACCCCTAAACCCTAAAATACCCTAAACCCTAACCCCTAAACCCTGAAATACCCTCAACCCTAAACCCCTAAACCTTGAAATACCCTAAACCCTAAACCCCTAAACCTTAAAATACCCTAAACCCTAACCCCTAAACCCTGAAATACCCTCAACCCTAAACCCCTAAACCTTGAAATACCCTAAACCCTAAACCCCTAAACCTTAAAATACCCTCAACCCTAAACCCCTAAACCCTGAAATACCCTCAACCCTAAACCCCTAAACCCCAAAATACCCTAAGCCCTAAACCCCTAAACCCTGAAATACCCTCAACCCTAAACCCCTAAACCCCAAAATACCCTAAGCCCTAAACCCCTAAACCTTAAAATACCCTCAACCCTAAACCCCTAAACCCCAAAATACCCTAAGCCCTAAACCCCTAAACCCTGAAATACCCTCAACCCTAAACCCCTAAACCCCAAAATACCCTAAGCCCTAAACCCCTAAACCTTAAAATACCCTCAACCCTAAACCCCTAAACCCCAAAATACCCTAAACCCTAAACCCCTAAACCCTAAAATACCCTCAACCTTAAACCCCTAAACCCCAAAATACCCTAAGCCCTAAACCCCTAAACCTTAAAATACCCTCAACCCTAACCCCTAAACCCTAAAATACCCTAAACCCTAACCCCTAAACCCCAAAATACCCTAAGCCCTAAACCCCTAAACCTTAAAATACCCTCAACCCTAAACCCCTAAACCCCAAAATACCCTAAGCCCTAAACCCCTAAACCCTAAAATACCCTAAACCCCTAAACCCCTAAACCCCAAAATACCCTAAGCCCTAAACCCCTAAACCCCAAAATACCCTAAGCCCTAAACCCCTAAACCCTGAAATACCTTCAACCCTAACCCCTAAACCCCAAAATACCCTAAGCCCTAAACCCCTAAACCCCAAAATACCCTAAACCCCTAAACCCCTAAACCTTAAAATACCCTAAGCCCTAAACCCCTAAACCCCAAAATACCCTAAGCCCTAAACCCCTAAACCCTAAAATACCCTCAACCCTAACCCCTAAACCCCAAAATACCCTAACCCCTAAACCCTGAAATACCCTAAACCCTCGAAGCCCAGAGCCTCGGAGGCTCGATTCCAGCTCCATCGCAACAAGGACGGCTTCCCCGGGTCTGCGGTGGGTTCAGGGGGTCCTGTGCAGAAGGGAGTACCTTTTGGGGGCCTTCATAATCAGAGTGTACTATTTTTGGGGGGTTTCTTATTAGAAATATAGTTGAAGGCTTAAGCCTGAACTTGCGGCCAATCTCGGGCTTAGGATGTAGGGTTTAGGGGTTTAGGGTTTAGGGGGATCCCTCTCTTTTGAATATCCAGCAGGAAAGTTTCGGAAAAGGGTGCCATCAAAGAGTGCAGCGGCTCAACTTTTGAAGCTTCTTCGTGAACCTGAAGCTGCACGCCTAGGCGTTTTACCGAGGAGCCCATTTGAAGCGGATACCTACACTGAACTATACACTGAACGCCTAAACCGCTCACCCCTACTACTTCCCTGCAGACATCAACAGACCTCCAAGCAGGCCAGGCTTGCAGTTTGTAAGCAATGTGGCAGCCTGAACGATTAATTATGTCGTTACAGTCCATCTCGTCTATGTAAGCAAAAGCCGCAAGTATCTATGGCCCTGACCTTTGCATTGGGAAGGCTGTTGGCAGGGTTCGCTGATGTCGGATTAACCCGCAAAGATGCAAACTTCGCTCTGTTTCAACTGACAGTCATGTTTGCCTAAGGGGAACGAGACCCAGAACCTTTCACGAGAACAACAGACATCGTTCTCTTCGCCCGAAGTTGTCCCCATTCACAAACAACATGCGATAGGCTTGCTGCCTTAACGAAGCGTTAAACAAACTTCAACCCTCGCCCTGAGCCCTAACCCCGTTTGCAGCATTGTGGGTGCCTGCGGTAGGGGTTCGAACTCCGGAAATCCTACGCTTTGGTCTAGGGTTTAGGGCCCCTTACTTTCTGCAACCCTCAACTGTTCGAGGTCCGGAACCCAAGCCTTGGTCTACCCCACGACTCCTACCCTCAGCATGCGGACTCCTCCTCACACCCGGTAGGGCGCCTGAGTCCATTCTGACACCCTCAGCCAAAGCCTAGATCCAAAGCAGGAAGGCGAAGATAAACCACACATAAACCCGAAACCGCAAACACCTGAACCCCAAAGTGGGCAGCTTGAACCCCTGAATCACCAAATCAACTTTACCCCCTTCCGGAGCCGCAGGCAAGGCACCTGCACAAACGTCGCATGGGATCCTTGTCCTATCTCGAAGGGGTGTTGAGACTTAGAGCATGGTTTTGTTTTCTTCTTTGGGGGTTGAGAGTTAGGTTTTTGGGAGACCCTCCCTGCTCAAGCCCCGAGCAAAAAGCTGGCACCCCTGCAGCGATGACCGGTTCCGGGGGTTTACAATTAAACTCTAAACCCTAAACCCTCCCAGTATAGGAATTCTAACTGTATCTGCAGGCGGAAAAGAGCCCTTTAAACAAAAAACCCTAAACCCTACGGTGCTTCGTTGAATCCGAGGATTGCCAGACCGCCGGGCAGGATCGAGAGAATGCCATGCGTCCTGGCCGGAGACCTGAAGCCTCGAAGCCTTCGACAGGCCCCCCAAAACAGCCTTGTCCTTTTTCATGGCTCCCCCAAAAGAATAAACAGACCGGCTAGTAGAACTTCTTAAATACTTCCCATTAGGGGATATAGGTATAGGGCTCTCTCTATTATTTCTAAAAGGACAAGGGTGCCCCAAAACCACAAAGCGCGCTTGAACTTCGGTCTCCGACTCTGGTTCTTCCTTTCCTTTGAAGGTAGTTTCGTTAGGGCCGAGTCGAATCGCGAAGTCTGAAGAGGGCGCTCCTGGCAGAGCCCACAACTCCCAGACACAGCAAGGTTACGGGGCTACGGGGTTGGGGTTAGGGTCTTGTGTTTCTTGTCAAGAACGGTCTTTTGATTTGAGCGTGCCAATCCTCGACTCGAAGGTTCCTTTTCAGTTTCCCTCTCCCCTCTCTCTCTCTCTCTCTCTCTCCCTCTTCTTTTCCTCTTTCGTTGTCTTTCCCTCGTGCAAATCACCGCGCTCGAGAACCATGCTCGAGTAGGTATCGGCACTGGCTCTGCTCACTGCCATCTCACCGAGTGGTGAGGAACACGGCTGTGCGTCTCCTTGGAGCTCAGTTTCCACGTTTTTTCGAGGATATGTATGCACACATGCATGACATAGAGCCCTTATACAGCCACGTCTGAAGTCCAATCGACAAACCCCAAAGTAAATCCCAAACAGTCTGGGAGTTTAGTCTCAGTCCCTTATTCTTGCAGAACACCCCCCTAGTAGTGTCCCAGGCAGGTGTTGAACTCGCGGCCGGACGGCGCCGCATGCCAGGGATCTCGGTTGGCCCGGCTGAACGTCCTGAACGGCAATTACGAGCGGCTCGGTTTGCATTTGCTTTTGGGGCGTATCGGAGTTCAGGAATCTGTTTGAGGTTCAGGGCGAGTTAAGGATTTTAGGGGACCTGTTCAGGGTGACGCGGCCTAGGATGCAGGACCGTACAAAGCCATACCGACACGGACGTTGCGCACCGCAATTTAAAGATAGGAAACTGCTTGAGAAATGCGGGCTCCTGATGCTGGAACGTTTTCGCCGCATCCTGGACCCTGGAAACTCTCAATCCCTAAACCCAACTGAGGCTGTAACTTTATCGGTCCCTCCTCAACCCATACGCCGCCTGAACTTTAAGCCTTGAACTCGTCCCCAGCCCAGGACTCTTTGCGAATTCCCTTCTGACTGCTTCAACGCCTGTGGCATCAATCCGCTAGATTCGATGCCTCTTGGCCGAAAGATTGGGTCCCGTGTTTACAGGTGCAGGGGTGTATGGCATACGATTTTGGCATGTGAGGCTTAGCAAAATGAAGGGACCCATACTTTGCTTGATTTAAGGTTTTGGGGTTTCTGGGTTGTGGGATGTTCACGGGTTTGGGGCTGAGGCTTGCAGGTTTGGGGCTGAGGGTATATGCGACAGGGCTCTAGGTTGTCAAACATATGGTCCCCTTCTTGGGTACCCTACATATTAGGTGCCGCATTATATTAAGGACCCAAAAAGGGACCCTGATTTTGACAACCACCTATAGGGCTCTAGCTTGTTGGGATCTCGGGGTGTTCAGGTTTGTGTGCAGCGAAGCTTGGGCGCATGATTCCGTGCTACGACTATGTGACCAGACCACTATGTCCCTCTGGGCATCTACAAGCTAGTCAGTAATGCATGTAGATATCTATAGAACCAACTGAGTCATCTATATGTATGTGTATATATATATACACATGTGTGTATACGCATATTAGTCTATATATATACACCTTCACGTCTGTGCTTACATATGTATTATTTATGTATGTATGTATGTATGTATGTATGTGTGTTCAAACACACATACCCATAGATACGCATACACCTGCGCACCCACACACCTACACATCAGACCCTGCGCGCACACACACAGACACTCACGTACATACATGATACAATCCTTGCAGACAGGCACAATTACATGCATGCATACGTACACACATGGACGTGTAAACATACACATATACACGCATACGCACATGCACAAAGACGCATACACCGCAGTAGCATCAACAAACGCTGGCACGAAAAGGAACAGCAACGTCAACAGTAAAAATGATAGGACGGCTACCACTTACGAAGAACATGAGTACTGGCATTGGTGGTGGCCACAGCAGTGGCATTCGTATTGGCATTTGAACTAGCAGTGGCATTGAGTTTCAGCATGTTTGACATTAACAATTACATGAACGGTACATCACGGTCAAGACTGCCGCTAGCATTGGCATTGACAGTAGCATCAACATCAGCTTACCCATTTGCCATGGAAACAGCAGCATCAACATTAACATGTACATGCCATGGCGTGACAGGACATAACATGATATGGCATGGCATGGTTGTGCATGGCTACACACCTGCACCCAGCATGGATCGCGTCCGGTGCAGGCATTGTGGGGGATGTTCGTAGCTGTTTGACCAGGGACCCTTTGAGACAAGGCCGAGCCGGGGCCCCGAAACGTTGTAAGCAGCGGAGAAGACCCCAAAGAAGCCTAAGCTTACCTTTGGATACTAGGGAACGGAAGAATGGTAGTCATAGTACTTATAATTGTACCCCATGCCTCCATTCCCTACTAACCAAAGGCAAGTAAATGCAAAGCAGCCGCAGTTCGAAGGATCTATTGCGAGCTAGATACGATTCCGAGCCACTCGGAGATCTGTTTTGTTTCTTTTGCCTTGGGTTTAAGATTTCGTGGCTCAATGGATACAAACCAGGGTGACAAGACTTCCTTTCAGAGTATTGTGTCACGTTGCCCTTGAGACTTGGGAGTCTCGGTTTTGGCGGTTCAGTGGGTTCCGCGTGCGTGCCTGAAAGTTTAGGGTTTGACGGGTTTCGCCCTCTGTGTCGTTTTTTCCACGACTTCGGCGTAGTGTCTACCCATGGCTTCTCGCGCGAGTCTTAATGTTCAGCAGAATTCTCTGATTGGCGGTGAGGGGCCAGTTCTCTGATTTCTTGAGAATGGGTTGCCATGTGTGAGGTTTGCGACGTTAAGCAGTTCGTAATGTACTGACAGAGGTGTGTTCGTTTCTCAGATTTTGTTTCACTCAGTTTCGGGGTTCCGAACTGTGCAGCTTGAGTCTGGGGTTTCGGCAAGGCTACCTGGTTCGCCTGACGTGCCCCACCAACGGAGGCCCGTGCTGTCGTGTTCCACCAGCTTGCGTGCTCTGGCACTTCTGTGCTTTCTGGCCTGGGGTTTTGCTTTAGGGTTTATGGCTTCTTCACCATGCTCTCGAGCTGGTCGTACCGATCCTGAAGGTTCGTAGCCGGGGTGACTAAGCAGGGGGCCTGGCGGGCCTGGGGGTGAAGAGCATCGGCTCCTGCTTGGCGCAGGAAACAGCTGTACTTGTTGGAGACACGTAGCTGCCATACTGCCATAGCCCCCTAAGACCGAGCGAATCCCCCAAGCAGTCTAGGGCATAGCCTTAATCGGGACATGGGAGTTTTTGGTGGCAAGTTTAGGCTTTGGGCTTTCCTTGTAAGCATGTTTCTAAAGCCTCAACTCTCAAGAAGGAATCCTCAACCCTAAAACCCTCAACCCTAAGCCAAATCTCAACCCGTCATAAGCCAGAAGTCTGCAGTGTGCTGAGTTTGGTGGTAAAGTGCAGTTCGGATGCTTTGGGCGCTTTACCCCAAACGGAGACACAATCCCCTAATGCTCTTAAAGCATGGAATCCTTAAACCCAAGCTACAAAAAACCCTCAGCCCCTGAACCCGAAATGCAAACCCTAAGCCCTAAACCCTAAAGCCAGAAAAGCCACGCCTCCCGTTTCCTCAGACCCCGGATCCTTCTGCTTCCTCGGCACGCAGTTCAACTCGGTGTCCGGAGGTTTCAGTCCCAGCGCCTTGGCGGGGAAGATCTCTGCGTGCGGATGTCGGAAAGTCCAGGGATTGGGGGTTTAGGGTTTACGTTTAGGGTTTAGGGTTTAGGGGTTTGGGGGCTTAGGGTTTAGGAGTTTCAAGTTCCCTAAACCCAAGTTGCTCATGAGTTTCATTTGCAGCTTCCTGCAAGAAGGTGACTTCCACGGCAACCATAGCTTGAGCGAGTTAGCAACCGCTCCACCAGCTCTCCCTGGAAAGGTTTCGGAGCTCCGTAGGATTGGGTCTGGGTTTTTTGATTCGAGGAGGAACGGAATCTTCTGACAGTTTCCGGGAAGAGTTTTGCGATGGAGTCACAATCGATTTCACTGTCCTCGCCTGGCTCGCAAGGCGAAGCCGCGCGCGGTTTCTTCTAAGTTTTCGGTTGTTGGAGTGGGTTTGTGCGATTGAATTTCATACCTCTCACTTGCACGTAAGGCCAAGACCAAGACGTGTGCGGGGTGTCCCGTTTATACATTAGATGCACCATTCCCCCACAATCCGTCTCCCCAACTCCGGAGAAAACTGACTTGGCATGTGAAAGGCCCCTCGACGCATGGGCTCTGCTAATCACCGGTATACCCCGAGCAGAGCCTAGGATCCATTCCTCCAACCAGCGCCAACTTCGTGTTCGTTGCTTTCGCTGATGCCACTGTCCGTGCTCAAGGAGGTTGGCCCAGTACGAAGGGTCGAGCCGAACTTAGGGGTACTTAGAAAGAATGCCTAATCTTTGGTTCCTTTAATCCCTAAGACACAGCTAAAGTTGAAATTTTTGCTACGGGGTCTAAGTTCAGTAGAGCGAATGGTTTGCTTTGTTTTGGGCAAAAGCAGGATCCGGATTTTGACCGTGGTCTTCGCGATTGTTTGCTTTGGTTTTGAAACTTCAACCGCAAGGTTTCAAACCCTGCACCCTCGATTCCTGGATCATGTAACACATCTCTGTTCTCTGCTTGGAGGATCATGGGACTTAGTAAGTAGGGTTATAAGTAATTATTAGTACAGTTACCTTAATTACTACTTACCTTTGGTTAGTAGGGAATGGAGGAATGGGGTACAACTATAACTACTATTACTACCATTCTTCCATTCCCTACCAACCAAATTTGTCAAAGTTATGGTTCCTTTTGGGTACCCCAAATATTAGGTGCCATATTATAATAAGGACCCAAAAAGCGACCATAATTTTGACAACCGCCCACATCTCTGTTTCCCGGAGCACACCGTGCCCTAGTTCCCTGTCATCCTCGGGCCCTGGAGCGACTCCTCAGCTGAAATCCGGAAAGCCAGCCCCCACTTCTTCTACTACTACTACTACTACTACTACTGCTGCTACTGCTACTACTACTACTACTACTACTACTACTACTTCTACTCCTACTCCTACTCCTACTCCTACTACTACCACCACCACTACTTCTAGAGGTAGGAAAAGTTGCTACGCGCATCCGCTTGTATTTCCCTTCTTGGATATGTCATAAGATACCTTCCTCCCCCCAACCCTAAACTGAGTGTTATGGCCTCTATCTTGGGCCGCCAAAGTCCCTTGTTCTGAGTGCCCCGGTCCCCAAACCCGAATGTACTGATCTGCTTGAACCAATCCCAGGCACTTGTTGTTAGTATCGAAACCATTTCTTGTCCGATATTGCCAGACTTCAATGCTCACCAACATACCCTAGACCCCTACTCCAATTATCCCGGTGCTTGCATGAAACCACATAGAAATCCACTCAAACTGCCATGTCTGCAGGCTTGGAAAACCTGCCCGGCTACCTCACCGAGACCCGGCTTCGTTTTCGCTTCGCTTGGGGGCCCTTGTAAGGGATGCTGAAAAGGGTTCTAGAAGGGGCTGCAGAAGGGGATTTATAAGGGTTTCTAGGGTTGTTAATTTGAAGGGTTCTACAAAGAGCTTTTTTTTGATAGTAGATGGTATTGAAAGTGTTGCATGGCGGTCTATCGGGGCTTGTTGGGTTAGGCTTTTGTACTTTCTTCATTCAATGAGGATCCGCAAGGCTTCTACAGGGATTCCATGACTTTTTAGGGTTTTGTAAGGTTTGTACAAAGGTTGCTGCAAGGATTTGGGGCTTTAAGGTTTCGGACTGTTGTCGCCTATATCGACTTTTCCTGCACAGTTCCATGAGGTTCTATGTAATTGGCTGTGTTTCTTTTTTTTTTATGGGTGCTTTCAGACAACAATCAGCCTGTATCTTTTGACTTTGCCTTTTATCCATGTACCAGTTGGTCTACGCATGTACCCTTTGACAAAAGCTCATATTCATTTGGACACATGCACCGAAAAAGGTCTGCATACACTGGTGTTGCCATTGTCTTTCATTCCCGGTTTTGCTGCTTGCCGTGTTGTGCCATCTTCGTGCTACTTTCTGGTTTTGCTGTTGTTGTACTGGTTCTGGTTGCTGTTAGTCTTTCTCGTCGCTGTCGTGTCGGTGGCGTCGTTGTTGGTGGTGGGGGGGTGTTGTTGTTGGCGGTGGCAAAAGCTCTAGTTCTTATCGCCATCGCCTTTCTTCGCCCTTCCGACATGGCCCGGTCCTGAGCCAAAGCTGTGTACTTGACCTCGAACCTGACTGACATGGCCATCGGAATGGTTTGCAAGTCTGGGGGAGCTCTTCAAGGCCGCATCGGGGTTCATTGGGCATAAGGGGGCCTCCCGCCCTGCGCCATGTCTGTGTCCTGTGACAGTCTCGAGTCGGCACTCACCAAGATGGCTTGCGTGCAGACTGTAGTGATTCGAAGCCAGAAGAATTTCGATAATGTACACAGACCTATGCATTGGCTGTCTGAATGTACGTGTATGTGTGCATGCTTAAAGGTTCATTTGGCAGAGGCCTCAACCCTAATTAGACCTGAAAGCTCGAAGTCACTCAGGTTGATGACGTCACCCCTTTCCCGGACCTCAGACCCTTGGCGGGAAGCTGTGTTGCCGGGTAGAGGCAAAGGTTTCGGGGTGATTCTTCACTGCGGCGAACTCAAGCTCATGATGTGGTTCCTGAGGTTTTGATTCAGGCTGATGCAGGTTTCCAGGCCTTTCACGGTCTGTTTAGTTTAACTTTCCACCAGCCCTAAACGTCTACATTGCAAGCTGTACACTTAAAATTTAAGGAGGGCTTGGGGGTTGCAGGGCTGCAAGCACTTCTGCTGGTGCTGCAATCTTGACCCTGCGCTGCTACTGTTTCATGCTGCCTTTCCGACCAGCACCACTGACCTCTAAACTCTAAACCCTAAAGCCGAAAAACTAAACCAGAAGGCTTCCGAGGCCTCAAGCCTTCGGGGTCGGTGTTTCAGGCGGAGGGCTGTGGGAGTAAGAGGCCTGAGCAGGGCGGCAAATCCGTATTAAGGCTTGGGTTGTTGAAGCTTTTCGCTCTGAGTTTGCAGGCTTTAGTTAGGACTTTATCGTCGGCAGGTTCGATCCTTATCTGTAGTTTGAAATCTCCTTGAGAAGACCATGCGATGCACAGTGCCAAAGCGATGAAGATAGTGAGGGGTCGGAGTCATTACTCGTACTCCCGCTCCCAATTGTAATGATAGTACAGTGTACCCCAAAATCTGGTTCAAACTCTTAAGGCCCTTCTAGTAGCTGTCAATCAAGGCGACGATGAGCTTTCCCATCCCAGGCCGTTAAAGGCGACCAAGCCGAAGATTTTCAGGAATCAAATATGGGGGCCTCACTAATTATAGTCTGCTATTTTGGGGGGTTTCCTCACTGTAATTATAGTAGCATGGGACCCAAAACCCTATTCTAGTTCTTAAGGCCCCTTTATTAGGGCTTGCGGAGGGGTGTGCCAACGCAGTACCTTGTCTTTTGGAGCCTCAGCAGACCACGTGATGTCTGGGTTTGGACCAGCGCAGCAAGCATGAACCGAAGCAGAATCGAAGCATTGTTGTGCTATCAATGAAAAACTAAGCCTCTAAACTTTAAACACCTGCATGGACCACGAACCCCAAATCCTAAACCTTAAGCGAGAACTCCGATGTGAAATGTAAGACAGTGTTTTGGATCTAAGCTACCTTCGCCATCAACATCACGCGGCAGCCGATTCTGCAGGCTCGATGGTTTAGGGCTGAGGGTGGGGTTGTGCTCAAAATCCCCTATAACCCTAAACCCCCGAACCTCCGAAACCCTAAACCCCCGAGTCCCTGAACCCCTACATGCTGTAGGTGTGGTTGAACTCGGATCCCCAAAGGCTTTGCTTTTGTTTTCGTGACAGGCGCTGAAGCTTCAGGGCTGGCGTTGAAACCCTGAGCCGCGAAAGCCCCGGAGCACCAGGGCCCAAAAAGCTTCAACCTAAACCCCCACTGAAACCCCCGAGCCCTCTTCAGCCCTTTTCAGACCGAGACCTCAAACCCTCAAGGAGCCTTAAAGGCCCTAAGCCTTCGCGCCCTCACCCGCAAAAAAAGCCCAGAGCCCAAAGCACCGAAGAAGCTTTCGCAGACAAGCGCTGACCTCACGGTGCGAAGGTGACCTCGACGCACTCCTCAGGGTTGAATATGCTTCCCCAAGGCTACCTTTTACTATAGCTATGGAGGGCTGTGCGTGCGGAGGGGTGTCAGACATGGGGCTGCGGGTTTAGAGAGGTCTTATGCACAAAGCTTGAAACCTTAAGCAATTGGAGTTTAGAGTTACCACTAAACCTAAAGCTTCTGATCCTGCCAAGCCTCCCAGATTCCGAACCCCAAGCCCCACGCCCCAAGCCCCAAACCGAAAACCTGCAGCAAGTCCCAGTGCAACGAAGCACGAGTTTCTCCAAGGGCGACGATCGATGGAAGAGATGACCTTTGGCTTATCTCCTGCGAGAACGACAACGCCGGGCCGCCGAAAAGAAATTCCCATTTGGGGTTTCCAGAAGGGGGTTCTGGTGGGGAGAGCTTCTCAACATTGTAGTCATAATGCAAGTCAGCATAGCAGTAGTGGGTACCAGGTCATCATCCAGAACCTGGAGAGACCGGAATTCTTCTATTCAGTCACGCTGCTTGGCCCCACGAGTCTGTTAGCTGCTAGAATGAGAGGGTTGACATACGTACTTTCGTTGTTACTTTGCTGGAGACGTACCTTTCTCGTGCAGCAATAGCAAGGGTCATTGTAGTTCGCCTAGTCGTTTACTTAAGCTAGTTAGCTGGTTTACAGCGGTCTTTTTGCATTAGCCACTGACTCTAAGTCTAAGTCCCATGATCGCTTCTCCGTCGGGTCCTCGGAGGTGTCTGGAAGGCTCCAGTTTTGGGTGTAGGGCTCTTCGAGTTGCGAAGGATTGCAGGGGTTACCCTGGGGTGCTGTGCTGCAAACCCTCCATGCGCCATGTCCTTGACCCGAAATCTGACGCCCTTGAAGCCTAAGAGCACTAAAGGCGCTAAGAACCTTGAAAGCCCAACAGGGCCGAAGCACCCTAAAAGCCCTTAACACCGTTGATGCCCCAAGAGCCGTTAGCTGGGCCCTTCGGAACCATCCGGGTTTGGAAGATCTGAGTCCTTCGTGCGCGTTTCACATAACGGAAGCGGGGACGAGAGGTACCTCACTTGAGGTCCGTAAATCGAGGAATCTCGCCTTTTGAGCTTCTTTCTTGTCGGGGGTCCTTCACATCCTGAAGCTCCCTCATGGCACTTTCCACAAGCTTCGGCTTTTGGATTCCAAACTCTGGTATACTTTATCTTGCCACCGTAGCCAACCAGAACCTACATGTCATTGATAAGGTTCTTACAACTTTTGTTTCTTCCTGGCAGCGGCTTTATAAGAAGGCACCAGCCAACACGTGTTTTGACAAAGGTTAAAGTCAAGAAATGGCACCTTCAGGTTTGAGGGATTTGGGGTTTTCAGCGGAATGTCTAAGCCAGATGAGTGTATGTATGTACGTACGTATGTATGTATGCACATTAGGTGGGTGGGTATAATATGTGTCTGTCTGTCTTGTATGTCCTGTTTCCCAACCCTAAACCCCTCAACCCCTAAACCCCTACGCCTTTAAACACCCCTAAACCCCAAAACACCCCTCAACCCCAAAACACCCCCAAACGCTAAACCCTTAAAGCCACTAAACCACCAAAACCCTTAAACCCCCCCTCAACTCTAAATCTGCAGTGACCGGCGAGACATGCGACGGTTCGGGGGCATGGATCCTTATAGCAGTCCCTAAATACTCCCCTAACAATAGTCCCTATAGCCCATTCCCCCATTCCCTACTAAGAACCAGGCCTCTTATAATGAATTACCTATACTATTTTGGGGTTCCTTATTATAATATGTTCCACTCCCCCTACTAACAACCCTAAACCCTTACAACCCCCTAAACCCCAAAACCCTTAAAGCCCAATTCCCTACTAAGAAGCAGACGCTTCGGCCCAGCCCTAAACCCTACATTTATCCCCAAAACCCCAAGTCCTAAACCCTAAACCCTAAACACCTAAAAAGCCCTAAGTCCCTAAACCCCCAAACCCCTAAACCCCGAAAGCCTCAAAACCCTACATGCTATCCCCAAAACCCTATAGATCCCTTAAAGGAACCCTTAAGGATCCCCTATAGATCCCTTTAAAGGGAACCCTATACCCTACATGCTATCCCCAAAACCCAAGTCCTAAACCCTAAGCCCTAAACCCGAAGTTTCATCCCCAGACGCCCGAGGATGCAGCCGACGAATGCGCCAAGCCCCCAGGGCGAAGCGGGTGCTCAGTGGGACTTCGACGGCTTCATCTACTGCGCCTTCGCCCTGTTTTGCAGACGAATTTAGGATGTTTCAGGGTTTAGGGGTAGTTAGGGGTTAGGGTTTAGGGTTTAGGGGTTTGGGGTTTAGGGGTTTAGGGTTTCTACTGCGCCTTGTTTTGCAGGTTCAAGGGGCTCTGGCTCTTTGGCCCGGCATCTGCTTCTCCTGTAGCTCAGTTTCGCCGCATAAGACTTGGTAAATAAGGGTTCCTTAAAGGGACCTAGTAGGGTTCTATAAAGGGTTTAGGGTTTAGAGTTTCCGAAAATTAGGGGTACCATATTTTGGGGTCCTTATAATAAGGATCCGACAAATTAGGGTACTATATTAGGGTCCCCTATTTTCGGAAACTCCCAGGTATACGAGCCTTGCAGAGCATATAACTCCCTGAATGTACCTAGTTGATTCCAAGAAGGTTTGTTCAGGAATTGCAGCCCGATGGATGCATCGCACATCCTGCTTATCGTGAAATTGTAATGTAAGTCGTTTGGAAGAGCCTACAATTCTAGGGGTTATAGGCCCAGGGTTTCTCGATCAGGTTCCTACACTAAGATTGGGATGCAGGCTCTTGTGCGCCGGCATGGCAAAGACGAAAAACCAAGTCGCGCCGACACTTTGTTCCGAGAGTCTCAAGACCATCATTGCTTACAGCTTAAAGCCCGACTCTATGAAAGACGCTCAAACTTAGGTGAACTAGAAAGCCGAAACCCTAAGCCCTAGCACTTGCGTCGACCCGAGAATGCTCTGATGCTACCCCTTGAATCCTTGCTAAAACATCTTGAATCCGAGTCATACTTTCGAGTCCCAGCCCCGAAACCTCCCCAACAAAAGCCATGAGCGACGTCAGGTGCCTACAATAACGGCGATGGCGTGTACGAGATTCTCGTTGAAGCTCGGTTCTTCCAGTCAACCGGTAAGAAACGCGAGTTCAGGCAAGTTTATGGGTCGGAGTCATTGACGACGAGAGTCCTGAGGGTTGCTGATCATGGCTATATTACGGCTTTTCCCCCCTGGCATGAAGCTGAAGCCTTGCATGTTGCAGTATAGTTCTCTCTTTGGCCCCACGCAGACCGTCGTAAAATCAGGAATTCCTCTTATCGGGGCCCTTGTAGCGCTTTCGGGGTCGGGTGTTCAGGGCGTCGAGGGAACTCAGGGTTTCGGGCGCAGGAGCCGTGAAGTAGGCAAACGACCACTTGCTGTTGACAGCCAGTACGGGTAGCAAGTCGTTTCGTAGCCTCCCCTTGCCCGGCAAGGCAAAGCATAATCCCTTGGCCGCGCGTATCCCCAGGGGATAAACCCTAGGCCTGTGACCCTGACTCCAAGCCGAGAGCACTCGATTCCAGCATGCACCCGTCCACTCGCAAGCAGTTTTTGCATCATCGGAGCGACCGCGACGGAGAACCCAACTTCGCAGTCAGCTTGGGGTTTGCCGGTCTGGGCGAAAAAGCGCCTAAGGACCTAGGCCATCCCCTCATGGATGCTCCAGTCAAAGTCAGACCCGACAGTTTCGAAGAGCTGGTTTCCGAGAGCCAGGCACCCAAAATCGCTTTCAGAGCCAAAGTGAAGCCCAAAGACCCTAAAAGGACCCTAAAACCCTAAACCCAAGCGGTCCTAAACGCTCAGCTTCGCCTCAATGCAGCCTTTCGCTGAGGACGACGTGGATGTGCAGAGCCTGGCGCCTTGGGCCCGTAGTCTCCAATAAAGAAGCCGGAAGAAGTACTTCTGTTGTTCCTGATGGTTCGTTAAGGGGAATACGACCCCGTTAAAGTTATTGAGGCCCATTTGTCACGTGCTTTCATGCTACTGTTGGTGCGTTTTGAAGTGGAGTTTTTGAGTGTGGGGCAGAGCTTAAGCATGGTTTAGGGTTTAACTGGGTTTGGGTTTTGAGCCCTGCACCTACAAGCCCTAGCAGTCTAAATCCTTTGCGCCGCCCACTTTTGAGCTCTATGCCGATTCCCAGGAGGTGCCAGTCACTCTGGTCAGCCAATCGCAGGAGTTGATCCAGACCACCAACGACGGTGCCTTCGGTTTCCCAAGCTGGTTCGAGGTGAATATAGTTAAGCTCTTGAAAGCATACTGTAGATTCTATGAGACTAAACCTCGTTTTGGCTGCTTCTGTGGCTGCTGCTGCTCCTCTTCAACCTTGTTTGTCTTACCACCACCAACAACAACTACTACCACTACTACTGCCACTGCCACTGCTGCTACTGCTGCTGCTGCTACTACTACTACTACTACTACTACTACTACTACTACTCCCCGTCACGGGCACTACAGGTCTCTCCTCCTAGACGGACTATGGCAGGCGTGGTGGACTGAAGATGGGCAACCTGCTGTACTTCCTAAGAAGGCCGATGCTCTAATGATGATGCGAAATGCCTATCTTCTGTTCTTACGACCTGCTCCGCAAACCACTAGTTAGTTTTGTGAGCGGGCCTCTGAGACAACAGTTCCGGCCTAGTGCTCAAAGGCCTTACGGGGCGGCTAGGTTAAGTTATGGCTCCATTGCGAAATGTTGTACTTATTATATTCCCTAGGTCTCTTCTGGTCTTTGCTGCTTCGCTATGCAATGTAGCCATGACTTGTAGGATGGGTGGCGGAAAACTTCGTCATGCAGCAAGGCTGCCATGCACTATGCATGCCAATCTCGCAATGCGGACTCGTTCTCTGCAGCGTGTTGAAGTGAAGTGAAGTACTACTACTACTACTACTACTACTACTACTACTACTACTACTACTACTACTTCTGCTACTGCTACTGCTTCTGTTAGTGCCGCTCGTGCTCGTACTCCTGCTCCTACACTGCTGCTGCTACTGCTGCTACTGCTGCTACTGCTGCTACTGCTGCTACTGCTGCTACTGCTACTGCTGCTCCTACTGCTACTACAACTGCTACTGCTTCTGCTACTACCGTCGCCACCGTCATCCCAGTCGCGTCCGGAAGGTCTGAACTGCATCACGGTGGAGCCACCATTCACGACCACCTCGACCACCAGCACCACCACGACGGTGACTTAGCTTCCAAGAGGGCTCGGATTCGGAGTTTCTTCTGTTTTCGAAGTTTGTCAAGGCTTTTGCAGGCTCGTTGCGAGCTATCTTGGCCTCTCCATGCGTGGTTTTGGTGGTGGGCCCTAAGACTGAAACTTTCAAATCCTGCAAACCCTACCCCCCCCCCTTCCAAAAGCCTTCAACCCTTAACCCCCAAGGCTTTAAATCCTAAACCCTTAACCCTTAACCCCAAAAGCAATGGGCTTTGAGGATGTAGTGTTTTATAAACAGAAGGGGCTGCCATGGGGCCTGGGTTTTTGCACACCCAGTGTTTTGCACTTTTTGCATTACTTGTTCGGTACTTGTCGTTCAGGGTTGCTTTGCATGCTTCGGAAGGCCCTCTAGACCCCTGGAAGTCCTGCAAGCCGTAGTTACACTAGCACAAGCCTTACACCCTACACCTAAACCTCCAGCAAGCCAAAAAAACCAAAAAACCCAAACAAACCAACAAAACCAAAAAAACCAAACAAACCAACAAAAACCAAAACAAACAAAAAAACCAAAAAAACAAAGATTTCCGCACTAGTCTGAAGGATTCCGACTAGTGCAGAAATCCTTGTGTTTTTTTGTTTTTTTTTGGTTTGTTATTTTTTTGTTTTGTTTTTTTTGTTTTGTTTTTTGGTTTCCGCCACGGCTGACGCGCCCGGACAACCTTCCGCTGTGGCTGTTCTTTTGGGTGTAGGGTCTACTTAAACAAGACTACTGTCTAATCTATCTTATGTTATGCTTATAAGCAGTCCGGCTGCTTATGATTCTAGGCAGGCTTTCTGCTTATAAGCAATCCGGCTGCTTATAAGCAGGCTGTCTGCTAATAAGCAATCCGGCTGCTTACAAGCAGGCTGTCTGCTTACAAGCAGTCCGGTTGCCTACAAGCAGGCCTTCCAGCCCTGCTTCTGCTTATAAGCAATATCCTGTTCACGCCAGACACCAACCAAGACGGAGAACACGAGAACCCGAACCAATTGCACAAACATTACCGTAAATTTGATTTGATATCCTGACCAATTGTTTGTATTTCCGGTTTCTGTTGAGAATGCAATTCATGATTTGTGAGGGGGTGCGTATGAACGCCCTTCCTTGCTTATGAACACAGACTTGTTTAGAAGAAGTGAGCATCTTATAGAAACACTGTGTGTGCGAACAGTTCAAGGGTCCAAGCACCATGTAAACCATAGGGATATATCAAGGGAATCGCGAGGATGGAAGGCATCCAGATGGGCCTCGCCAATATCTTTTGAACACGTGTCGGGTTTGTATACTATGTCATATACTGCCGCCCTGGAGGTTACCTTTTTATACACACAAATATTGCAGACATACGCGTAGGTTATCTGACCACCTTCCATCTATTTATCTGCCTATCCATGTATCTATCCATCTATCTATTTGTCTACCCATGCATCTGTACATTCATATACATACTGGTCTCAACATGGATGATGTCACCGACCTCTTAACCTGGCAACTTACAGATATTGTAAAACCCTGATACAATCTATGACAGGATATGTTATGGCACCGCACAATAGACAAAGCACGCGTGTATAGTGTATATGTTTTCGCCGATTTGCAGAAATACCGTCTTGCCACGGTCACATTAGCTGTGTGTTGTTGTGGGGCCCATTATAGCAAGTCATTGAGTAATGCGGCTGTACTGAGATGTTACAACAAAGGTTGAACTGAGTACTCACACGCCACAGCCTTCAACGAGTCAAGACCTAGGGGGAATCAGAACACGGAAAGTCGGCTCTGCACCCGAGAGTACCGGGTGTTAAAGTTGTAGAATAAGCTGGAACGATGTATGAAGTAATTGCTCATGTTTAGTATTTCCATTCACTTCGCTTACAAGCGCCGGCGTATCTGCCGTGCACTTCGTATTGTGGCAGTAGAGCGTACCATGGTAGCGCAATCACAAAAGCAGTGCATGCATAGGCTCATGAGTGTATGTATCCCTGTATGAGTAAGCGAAGGCATGCCCGGGTTTCTGTGTGCATCGTTAGTTACAGCGCCATAAAACCAGATGTGTATAATATATGTGTTCCCCTACTGGCAGAAATATATACAGTTTTGCGATAGTCGTTGGGGTTGCGGATTGGTCTGAGACGCCACGCAAGCAAGTCGCACTGACATACTGAAATACCACAATACAGACTCAACTGCGTAGTACTCTCGCAAACACACAGACCTTCACCACCGAGTCAGGACATCAGGGAATCAGAACACAGCAAGTCGGCTTTGCACCTTAGATTACCGGGTGTTTGCGTGGTAGGTTAAAGTGTTAAAATAAGCTGGAATGATACCTGAGGCAACTACTTAAATGATTCTTTCATTTCGCTTGGAAACGGCTTAGTGGATTGTGGTGGTAGAGCATTCCACTGTAATGCAAAGCTATACAAAAACACATGTACGGGCTTTTGAGTTTATGCTTGCGTGCATGTGTATCTGTAAGAATAAACATGCCTGCGCATTCACGTATATATACATGCACACATGTACTGCGTAATGTTACACGTTTGTGAACAGTGGCATGCGTAAATGCATGCGCGCATAGCACAATTCTATATTCTATATGAGACCAAGAAACACACTAAAAACACTACAAGATTGTTCTATAAAAAACACTACGAGTCGCTTGAGTTGTTCTTCAAGTTTTGGGTCGATCCAGTTGGGGATCCCAGGGCAACTCAGGGCGAGGGGTTCTAGGTTTTTCGGATGTGAGGTCTAGGGAATTTAGGGTTTAGGGGTTAAGCTGGGGTTTAGGGGTTTGGGGCTTTGAGTTCAGGATTTAGGGTTTGGGGGCTAGGGTCTAGGGTTCGAGATTTAGGGTTCGAGGTTTGGGGGGGGTTGCCGGCCGGTGTGGGGTTGGGTGCGAGTGGACCCTGACACGCCGAAACATGAGCTATGCCTGAATGCCTGAAGCCCGAAGGACCCCAAACCTTAAACCCCAACTCCTACTTGGAGGATCATGGGACTTAGTAAGTAGGGGAAAGAAGTACCTTAATTGGGGTTATAAGTAACTATAAGTACAGTTACCTTAATTATAACCCTAGTTACTAGGTCCCATGATTCTTTAGGTAGGCCCTAAGCCGAAACCATAAAAATGTAGCTCTGGATTCCCTGTCAGTGTTTGGGTTCCGAAGCTGCACACTAAAGCGCCCCACAAAGCATCCTGAAAGTGTAGCCTAGTGTCCAAAGTGCGTGAGCCATAATAGCATAACAATATGAGGGTGTCCGAAAATAGGGGTACCTTACTTTGGGCTCCTTCTACTAAGGATCCTACTATTTAGGGTTGGGTACTATAGTCGGAGATACAAAAACACTATACACACCAATCTCCATGTCTGGTGACATGACGCGCCTCTCGTTCTCGTAAGGTTGCTCCATCAGAACTGGTCTCGCAAAACAGAGCCGAATTCAACACAACCCCGAGACGCCTGCAACGATCTCCGCACCCTACTCTCTGTCTGCAAACCGTGAGAGGTCTATTGCTTAGACTCAACCGAAAGTGATATACTTCGAATCGCACAGTAGTCGAAAGCCAACTGGCTCCACCGAAGTGGTGTCTCGATTAAGCCGGAGGAAAAGGGCTTTTAAGAAGCAGCAAAAATCCTTTTCGTTGATTCTGAGTCCCGAAACCGCAGAACCTGTGGATCTCAGAAACACCAAATTTGGAGGTCATCATCGAGGCGTGCTTCAACGACCCCTTCGATTGTACGGACACGGGCCGCTGCTCTAAATGGCTTTGGGGGTCATTGAACGGGCTTTCGAGGATGGAAGAGTGTTGCGGTTGATGATATAAATCCTGCATTACCCATACTCAGGAATATGCCATAATTCCCATAATTTAGGGTCCTTAAGGTAATGCAGGATTTATATCATCAACCGTAGGGGCTGGTTGCGTAGGAATTGAGGGACTTGTGGGGTTTTTGCAGGTTTCAGCTGTATGGGTTTCGAGGACTCGGACCCGCCGGAGCTTGCGACCACAAGGCTTAGCCTCGGAACAACTAGTAATGGTCATCAAACTTAGTGAGAACCCGCATGCAAGTCAGGTTTGACCTCCCTAATTCCTCAACCCTAAACCCGAACTTGAATTTTTCAGCCAGGAGCCCTAGCTGCCGACAGCTTCAGCCTTTTGCATCATCAGGGGTCCCAGAGCACCTGACGGCTTTCTGCAAAAAGGCCGAGACTTATAGGACTTTGAAGAGAAGAGACGCTAGGCAATGTTCAGCAAACGGCCCGAACACTTCGTCCCAGAGGAAATATGGCACGCCGTTAAAACAACTTTAACAGGACCCAGCTTGAAGCAGCAGAAACCATCGACATGCTGGAAGAAGCACCAAGCTCTCCGACTCAAATTAAAAACCGACAGCTTTCTTGAAAGAAGGAGGGACCTAAATCCAAACCCCTGGCCCTCTTCTCTCAAGAACAGGAAGGGGCCGAAACCCCAAACTCTGGACTAAACCCTTATGCCCCAAACCCTGGAAGTGCTTGAGGGATGCCCCATCCGAAGACTCTACTAAACCTTACAGAGCCCTGATGCCGTAGAATCATCCTACTAATGCATCCCTTACAACGCCTCTGGCACTAATCCTTCCAGCATCTCCGAGGTATCTCGTATCGGTGGCCGATGACCAGCGACCGGAGCCCAGCGGAGATTTTGCGGCTCAACGCGGCTCGCTACATGTTTTGTTGTTAAGGCTGTTCTGTGGTTTCAACGAAAGGTGAACATTAGGTACTGCCCGCAGGCAGTAAGAGTCTATAGTAGGGCTACTATTAAGGTCCTCATATATATCTATATTATGAATATTATTTATCTAGTACCGAGTGGGGGGGCCGTACCCAAGGTGAACATGATTCTCTTTACTTATACAAGGGGCTTTGGGGTTGCATAGGGGTTTTGTAGGGGTGGCGGGGGAAGGAGTTTTTAGGGTTTTCGGGTTTCAACTGTGAAATACCCCTTTACCCCTAAGCTTTTATTTTGAACACCCGCTGCAGCAACCTCGGATCAGTGTGTAAGTCTGAAATGCGAAGCCGAAAGCCTAAATCTAGAACGTCTTCAGAAAGGTTTGATATTTTTCTCATATCTTGTTAGGGCTTTATAGGCCCTAAGCCCTAAACGCTGAACCCTAAGCCCTTATCGGGCTTTTGGAAGGGCTTTTCTGATTGAGCCCAAGGTCGGTGCCAACACCTACTCGCGCCTTCTCTGGCTTTGATTGCTCGAGGGGTTTGGGGTTTAGTTTGGCAGTTAGGGGTTTAGGGGTTTAGGGTTTAGGATTCAGGGTTTAGGGTTCAGGGTTTAGGGGGTTTAGGGTTTAGGGTTTGGGGAGGGGTCTTAGCTTCGGAGGGGTTACTTCGCACTTGGAGGCGTTGGGCACCAGAAGGATCCTGTTGGGATCTTCGGACGTCAATATGCGGGCATGAAGAATTAGAAAAGGGTGTTTGAGTGATGTGGCAAACATGTTTAGGATAGTCAGGAACATATTTCAGGCTGGTATGTTCGTGGGTAGCGGAATAACTTCGGTATCGGGTCGCGACACGGCTCCTCTGTTTATTCAGATCTTCTCAGACAACATGGCCTGTTCTTATGCTAGAATGCAGATCCGGGTTTAGAGTTAAGTTCAGGGTTAAGAGTTTCGGGCTCGGGGAGCTATGTAACTGCTACAATGCCGGGCTTTACGTGTCGTCCTAGGCCCCAGGCTCAAAAATTTCAAAACTGCAGAGAAGTGTACTTCTCTAGGGGCTTTAGGGGGAATGGTCTGAGTAGTTATGGCTACGATATCAGAGTACTCCTGGGACCACTGTGATTCTCGGTGCGCCAAGTTCAGGAGCCCAATTTCAGAGAACTACCCAGAAACCCTCCTACAACACCCTAAACCCTAAACCTTCAACCGCCTTCAACCCTACACCCTAAACCTTCAACCCTAAACCCTAAACCTTCAACCCTAAACCCTAAACCCTAAACCCCAAGTCCGGGTCCCTTACTTTCAGTAATCATTGCATCCTTCATGGTTTTTGACGAGCCCAGAGGATCTCGGAACTTTCCGGAGCCCCGGCCACAGACTCCTAGTAACATGATTCCTGAGGGCTCCTCTACCCCAAAACATCCCAAAAAGCCTGCTCTAATAAAGGAAACCCGTCGAAGCCCCCCCCCGACCCTAACCCTCACCCCAAAGCTCTCAAGCTGAAACTCTTACACCAAAGCCCTGAACCCTCGGCCCCCCCCCCCCCAACTTTCAGAACCTTGAAGGCAAGCATACGCAAGCCCTACGATCCTTCAGGGTAGCTCCAAAATCCCGAACGGCACCCCAAAACGGTTTGGGGTTTAGGGTCTTGCAGGAATATTCATAGGAATGATTTTGGTATCCCTTATAAATTTAGAAATGCTGTTAAATCCAGTGAACAGGAGCCTGTTGTAGCATCCCATAAAGTTGGCCGTCCCGAGGGTCGTCTGCAACTTCCCAGACAACACGGGCCTTCAGCTCGAGGCTTGCGGCATCAACCCTGTCGCGCCTTGGAGAAAGTTTCTTTTTTGAGGTTTTGCGGTTGAGGATCTGATGGTTTGTGAGGGTTGGTAGGCGTTTTTCGGTTTTCGGGTTAGTAGGCTTCCCTGAACCCTAAACCTTAGAAGGGGCCCCCACCCTGTAATAGTGGTTTAGTAGGAATATAATCGGGCCCTAATATAATCCTCATAGTCACTATTGCAGGGTGGGGGCAGCTTCTAACCTACATCCTTAGGCTAGAGGGCTTTGGGGTTGTCCCTCGGCTGAGGACACGACGGCTGTGTTTTGGGGATTGAGAGCTTCCCGAAGCCCGGGTTCAGGGTTTAGGGATTCGGGTGTAGAGATTTTGAGTCTTCGGATTCACGGTGTGCTTGAAGAGTGGGTGCTTTGTTGAGGCTTTGATACCAGCTTCGAAGCGTGTTCGATCGTATATAGGAGGAGGCTCGAACTCGAAGCACCCCAAGCTTCAACTTCCTACGGTCGTGAAGGTGCTTAGGAGCAGTGGGGCCCTGAGCCCCTAGGTACAGGGCTCCAATTCGGGTTTAGGGGTTCATCAAAACCTACACCCCCTGAGCCTCACTGAAGCTTGACAGGACAGCACCATCTACTGCACCGAGCAGCAAGGCTCCAACCGCGCCTCATCGTGACAGAGACGGGGTCTTGGAGGTTCGCAAGGGCCCCCAAAAGCCTCAGAGGCCGAAGCCCAAAACCCCAAAGGCTCTCAGGCACTGCATCTTAGTTCTGGCTCGTGGCCATGCGACCGGAGTCTCAATAGGGCAAAGAAGCAGATAGAAAGGAGTTCCAAGCAACGCAGCCCAAAAGCTTGCGCATGCTTTTAGGTTCCGAGAATCAGGGAGCCCGGGTAGGGTGGGCAGCTAGGGCTAGGGGCATGAACAATTTGTTCCTACTTAAAGGGTCATGGGACTTAGTAACTAGGGTTACAATTAAGGTAACTGTACTCATAAATACTTATAACCCCAATTAAGGTACTTATAGCCCTACTAAGTCCCATGATCCTCCAAGTAGACCCTAAACCCTTATAGTACCCCTATAGATCCCTTAAAAGGGACGCCTATAACCCTACTTACTAAGTCCCATGATCCTCCAGGTAGGTTTCCCGAGTAGAGCTGCATCGAATACAGGCCAGGGCCTGGAGGTCCGTATAATTCGGGGTTTGGCAAGTGGGGGTTTCCGAAAATTAGGGCTACCTACTTTGGGGTCCTTATTATGAGGACCCTACTATTTGGGGTACTCTATTTTCGGAAATCCCCAAGTCTGCATGAGCTTCGCCTGAAGTATGAACCCGCCAGCCCGAGTTCATGAGCACGGGCTTGTGAACTGGGGCTTCAGCCACTGTGGCCACCGGGGTCTATAGATTTTGGGCTCTTGCAACCGAGGAAATCTTCTGCGAGTCACCTGTCCCACCGATGGAAGTGGCTTCGGCATCAATGAGACAGTCATGAGGCTCTCCCGAACATTAAGGGCTCATACATTGGGCGCTTGAGCAGGCAAGAGAATCTCTGTCGTTTAGGTTCTGACAGAGGTCTGCTGGCCCCTTCCTTGACACAGGGCCAGTATTCCAACTTCGGCCCTCTTTTGGTTCCTTGAGATCCAAAGAAGAGTTCAATTCGGCCAGCCGCCCATCTTTGGACGGGGTTTTTGAGGTGTTTCTGCTGATCAGCGGGATCCATCCCGGGGCTTCGAATGTCGACATGCAATTTAGGGCTTTAGGGTCCGTCACTCGTGCTACCCTGTTTACAGAACCATCCTCTTCAGCTTCATTGGAGAGCAGGTGATTGAAAAGCTTGCCGATTGCCTTCCCCCTGCGCTCGCGATCGCGATGCTCATCATTTGCTCTTGTTCTGTGGGTTTTCTATGCCAACTTGCATTTGTAATCGTCATCATGCTGCTGGTAACAACGACTATGTCTATATACATATACACAGAAATTTAGAGATATGTAAATACAAAATGTTATGGCATATACACACAGATATCATCATGGTTGTGTGACTCGAAACCTGACGCAAAAACCCGTCACAAGCGGATTCTTATGCCCGAAGCCATATATTCCTTCAACAAGACCGAGGCCCCGCATACGTTTGCTTCCTGGGAACCTACCGAACGGTCAATGCCGGAAACTTCCGCTTCACGGCTCAGACAGGGGTGGGTTGATATAAGGACCTTAATAATTACCTTTAGTATTTTGGGGGCTCCTTATTGTAATTATAGTATAGTAGGCCCCCAAAAAGGCCCTATTAAAGGGTTTCAGGAACACTGGCAATCCAAGGACATCCAGCTCAATAGGAAGAGTTCTACCGGCAATGACAACCAACATGGCAGCAGCCATAGAGCGAGAGAATGCGAGAGACATTTTGTTGCGGCAGCTGTAGTTGTAATGCTGATCCCGACCATGGGAAGACGAACTGGCAAGCAACTTAGAATCAGTTGCCACAAAGCAACTTTACTAATGTTTGCTGCAACAGAGCAACAGCATCAGGAGTAGCAGCAGAGTAGCTGCAGCAACAGCTGCTTTCGTCGTCGTCGCCTTGGGAGAGTGGTTATGGCCTGCTCAGCCCTGCCAAGCTTGCGCTGGGTGCACTTGCACTTTTCGGCTTCACTTGCACTTTTGGCTTAAACCGAACAGACTCATCTCCCCCAGCTCTAGGCCCAGATCCAAACCAGTGCTTCAAGACCTCAGAATCAATCTGGCTATCCCGGTCACATCGTCGTCGCTACTGTCGCGAGCAGTATCAGTTTCAGTATGGTTACAAGTTCCGCTGCTCTCACCACACTTACGGTGTTTCCATCTCTGCTACCACCATGGATACCACTGCTGCCACGGCCAAACCTCAACAGCAACAGTCATAACTAAACTACATGAAGGACGACTCCTTCAAGGGCTGAACCCCCTTCAAGGTCCTGCTTCGCAGGGCAGGGTGTTGTTGTTTTAGTTTTCGTCCATTTCTGTGCTCTAGCAAAGGCGACAATGGAGACTATGTCTCGGCACGCAACAACCGCGATGAGCTCTGGGTTTTCCCAGGCCTGCTTCGAGACCGCGAACACTGGGATCCGTATGCTAGAAGACGATAAGAGCCCACGAAAAGGTTTCAGAAGCCCTGCAAATGCTTAGGTTTCCCAAACCTATCGAGTCTGGTTTGCAGGGTTATCATGAAGCTGACCGTAGGGGTTGTGCTAGATAATCGCGACGAGCGTCCACTAGTTGCGAGTGGCATTCCTGCGTGTGAGAACAATGTTGGCTAGGGTTTTGTTTCTTGTGGCTGCGGCTACTTGGAGGATCATGGGACTTTGTAAGTAGGGTTATAAGTACCGTAATTGGGGTTATAAGTAGTTATAAGTACAGTTACCTTAATTATAACCCTAGTTACTAAGTCCCATGATCCTGTAAGTACTGTTACCGGCCAGCAGAGCCTCATCGAAGCATCGGGGGCTTTGTGATCGCCAGCTATACGGACAGGGACAAGAAGTGATACTATAGGGGCTTGAATAATTACCTATACTATTCTGGGAGTTCCCTATTATGGTCATGGCATGGCAGAATGGGCCCCAACACCCTGTTCTAATTATCAAAGCCCCTATAATATGCAAGCCTCGACACTAGACTTCTCCCAACACGAGCAAACAGCTCGAGCCCTTCAACGATTCAAAGTAATGGGTTGAGGGCTTACTAATTGGAATGGGGCTTTGGGAGTTCCTTGCTCTACTTCTAGTATAATATCACCCCAAAACCCTACATTGATGGGTTGAGGGTTCAGGATTTGACAAGTGTTTAAAGGGAACCGAGTGTTCGTAGAAGCCCAAGACTTCCAAGGGCTGACAAGCCCAAGAGTCGACCGAAGTCCTTCGAGGAGATATCATACGGTTCGGAATTTCGATATGTATAATTCAATTTTCTCATATACTTATTTAATTCAATTTGTTTGGGCCTTTCTTGGCTTTCAGTTGCCACGTTGAGGGGTTTGGGTTCTTGCGGGTTTAGGCTTTCATTCCCGAGACGTGCAAGCATCTAAACCCTAAGTTCGAAACCCCCGGCTCGAATCCGTTAAACCGTAAACCCTGAGCTTATATACTGTAGGGGCCGAATAATTTCCAATACTATTTTGGGGGTTCCTGATTATAATTATAGTATAATGGGCCCCAAAACCTTATTCTAATTATTGAGGCCCCTATATTACCCTCTGGGCCATCCCGTATTGGCTCCAATCCTCGTGCCCACCTGCTGTCACGCCCCATTCGACCGAGTTCCTAAGCTTGAAGTGAAACCATCTCACCCGAAAAAGCCCTACAATCCAAACTTAAGTTAAACCCCTGCGCTCGAAAAAACCCGAAACGTGAAACCCTAAACCCGCAACCCCTTGTGCCAGATGTTGCGAGCCTCCCCGGCTTTACGCCGAAAAACATCTCGTTGAACATCCGATGCTCGACATGACTTTTGCAGGTGCTCTTCTAGCGAAATGGCCGTTTATGGTTTAGGGTTTTGCAGGTATTTGCGGGGAATCAAAATCGTCCTTGCACAAGGGCCGCTCTTCGAGGTCGCGGGCCCTGAAAGTCAACATTTGGCAGACTAGTTGGAAGCAGACAGGAGAACTGGGAATGAGGCGCCCTGGTTGAGAATCTTTACGCCCGAATCTCACAGATCCCGAGCCCCGAAACCAGGGAGTCTCCGAAAATAGGGGACCCTGATATAGGACCCTAAATAGTACGAGCGTTACCATAAGGAGCCCCAATTAAGGTACCCCCAATTTTCGGAAACCCCCCCCCCCCCCCCATAACCCTGGGCCGTCGGCCTTGTGAGCTGATGACTTCAGGATCCCCATCCACACCGTGTGAAACATTTATCATTGCTTTTGAATTCCCAAAGTCGCATAACAGGCCAGGGGGTAGGGGAAGGGGCATCCAGAATGCCTCGCAAATTGACATGGCCAAACACTGTGTCTGCATGACAGCTAAGTTTTTTTGCATGTCAAGTTCAGGATTCTTTTCTGAGATTTTTCTTGAAGCTTTCTGAAAAACTCATGACTTTCTGTGGATTTGGTATTCCTTGTGCGATTTGGGTGAGGCAGCGAGGGCTGAGAATTTCTAAAGGTGAGTAGTAGAACATCGCGAAACGATGTACATAGCACAGGGTATTATGGTATTGCGCAAGGTCGAATCCTTCCTCACTTCACCAAAATCTCATCATAAACTGATCCAAGCAAAAATGGTCTTATGATTGCAAAGACTTTGAGTTTGCGTTTTCACCACCAGAAGTCCTCCCGCTTCTCAGGCCTACTAAATGCTCGCTCACCAAACCCTACGGCTTTTTCCTTCGCCGCCTTGGAAGAGTCAGAAAGAAATCAGAGTTCTGCACAGCACGGGAAATCATGACCCTCAAACCCCCTCAAACCATTAAGCCCACAACGCCCGGCATAGAACCCTTATTAAGAAACAGCAGCCGGAGTTCGGGTCATCGAGGTTCAGTGTTGAGGACGAGGATATAGGGTTCGAAACTCTCAACTAAACTCTTGGGAGTTCGTTCAGACTGTGATTTGGCTTCGCGTCTTTCGGAGTAGGGTCTCAGCTTTGGGGTTCCTGGGCTGAAGGCACCCAGAGACTCCAATATCCCTCAATTAAGGAATATACCTTG